AGACCTGGCAACAGCCACTGCCTTTAATGCTTGTTCAGCAACTGTAACGTCAAAGTCAAAGGTTCCAGTGCCCCTGCAACAGCTGACCCCAGCCCCACCCTGAACCTCCCCAGGCGGGGTGACGGGCCAGCGGCCGCTCCTTTTAGCTGGTCTCTGAATTCAGCATCCTCCTCTCCTCTCTCTCCAGCTGACTGTGGCAGAAATACAATGATGCATAAGCCTTCTCTTCCAGGGGTAGTTACCGAAAATCGCCAGCCACTGCCTCAAGGCCAGCAAGGGTAAGCAGCACGAGTTAGCACAGACATCACACCTAAGGGAGGCGCGCTTTCCAGGTACGGCTGGCACCGCTCCCACGCCATCCGCTGTGGGGTAACTAGCTCCACTGTCCTCAAGACGGCACGCCAGTGACGGCCAGTCTTCTTTTGTAACAACTACAGCTTCCAAGGTTTCAAGTAACGGGGTTCAGCAGAAAATGCACGTGTCCATACTGCCTGGGGAGCAGGCACTGAGAAGCAGCCAGAAGCCAGACCAGAAGTGAGTTGCCGCATCAGCCAGAAGGGAACAAGAAATTATTCTATGACCAAGCCCCTCCTACATGCCAGGCACTGTTCTAGCCTCGAGAAACAACGGTAAGGCAGAAAGGGAACATGCTCTCAGGCAGCTTCCTTCTAGGCTAGCCAGGAGGCAACGGAGAACGAGGTGGGGACGAGAGAGGAGGGAGCAGGGGGGCTGGAGGTGCAGACATCAAATCCAAAAGGGAGAGACCAGAGGGGACGGAGACGTCCCAGACAGAACCAAAAGTGGAGACAGGTTAGGCACGGCTAAGAGCTCGGCAGACCCACCTGGGTAGCGCAAGGAAGGTCTTCAAAGGGCAGGCCACTGTCAACCCCAAGCATCCGACCACTTTACATAAACCCACTTCTTGTTTCCAGATGGATAATTTGAGAAACTGCAAAGTTTACTCGGTCCCCAGTGGCTGAGTCTGTGCCGGTGGAACTGGCTAAAACGTTCAGCCATCAAGACATTTCGCCTACTAAAACTGCCTCGCCGTAAATTTGTATTTGTTATCATCTGTTAGGGCCCATTAAAACTCTCCAATAGCAACTGCTGCTACGAATCCAAAAAAATATTATTAAGAATTAACTTCATTTGTATGTTGTCAAAACTCAGAGTTTTTAAAAATAACCCTAGATAGAAGAAATTTTAAAAGCTAAAAACCTGAAATAACTAGTAACGAATGTTTGATCTTTTCAAAGAGTGGTTTTGTCTGTGTTTATATAAATGAGACCGTCTGCAAACAGGCTCAACCAAGCTGGAGCCAAAAGGGCTCTTGTGAGGAAACATGGTTCATTTTATACAGGCTGCAAAGAGATATCACTTCCCAGGTGAAACCCCACAGAGCATTTTTTTTTCCTTCTAAACATCCATACGCAACTTTTAAAAATACACACATACACAATGATTGGAAGAAGACACACCCAAATCTGCTCTGGATGATAAGATTAGTGGTGATTTTGTTCCACTACATGTCCCTGTATTTTCAAAATTTTTGGCAATGAACCTGCATCATTTTATAAACAGAAAAACTAATTTTAAAAAAAATGAAGTAGAATTTCCTCTTTTTAAAAAGGATACAATAGTGTGTTTGGTGTCTTCTTGTTCCATCAGAAATTCCAACCCTGAGTATTTTATTTATACAGAGGAACGTAATTCCTTGGATAGAAATGTTATCCACTCTCATCAAAGTTAAGCCAAACACAGTAACTAGGGTTAGAAAAAAGTCATGGGCCTAAGAGTCTCAGACTCGGCTCAAATCCCAGCTCCAATACATACCAGCTGTGTAACCCCAGGCAAATTTCATAACCTCTCTGATCCACAGTTTCATCATCTGTAAAGTGTCAGTTGTGAGGACTAAATGGCTTCCTGGGCAGTAAGAAGCCCCGTGCCCGAAGGTATGCAAAGCCACAAAAACCCCTCAGTTTTATTCCGCATCGTCCAAAGGTGACAAATGTACTCAAAGATAGGGGCTGATATAAAACAAATTGGTAATTCGAAACATTTTCATTTGAAAACAAATGGAGATACATGTTCAAAGTAAAAAGACAAGACTTGCAAGAAATGTCGTGCCTATGGCTGGCCACATGCATCCCCGCTCCCAGGCCTCCAGTGGGAAGAAAGAGGTAAACAATTGGAGGAACACCTGAAAGGGCGTCCATAGTGGCAACAACTGGCCTACCGTAGACACTCACCGAGCAGTAGCTACTATCCTTACCCCTGAGTAGGAATGTACAATTAAATAAGGAAAACACGCCCTCTTCCTATCTCTCGGCCTGGGGATGGCGATGAGGCTGGCTTTCTAACCGCTCTGTGTTAAGTGCCCAATTCATTATTTGGGGTGTCATTACATCTACGCAATCAATATGGCTCGTCATATCAAGAAACAGACGAGGAATATACGAAGCTGGAAAGCAAGCAAACACAGAATCTAATACAAAACTAACTCTCCTAAGTTTTGGTGGAAATAATTACGGCCATATACTCAACTCCCACACATACAATGTGTGCGCTGCAATCGACGGTCTCAGATTTCCCCTTTCGATGCTTCGGAACCTAATCAATGTGGTGGGGCTTTGGGTGGTTTGATTTGGAAAATGGGAGGAGGAAAAGACTAGGAAAGGAAGAGGGCTGAGACTGGGGAATTGTTATCGTAACTTGAATTCAAAGAGTACAAATCCTTTTATTACTAGAAACTGGAATCTTGCCATTGCCACTGGGATTCAGGTCAGGACCTGAGCCAGACTAGGAATCTGATGGCATTTAGCTCCCCTGCACAGGGGGGTAAGCACTGGGACCCCGGAGAGTGGAGGCCAATACCGGATCAGAGCAATGCCTGGTTGTGATGCAAACATCTGTTAGTCATCCAGCAGCACCAACTGTCCATTTAATTAACTGCTCCTGAATTATTTATCATCTACCCCTGAGGGAGAGAAAAATCACTCTTTCTGGTTACCTGCTCTGCTTCAGGGGCTGGTTCAGAGAACTCCAAGCCTGACAGTTCGAGGGAGCTCTGGTTCCTGCCACCCTCTGGTCAAGGCAAAAACATACAGAAACAGCAAATGAAGTATTTCTGGAAAAAGGGAGTAGTTAGCCTTCTAGAATGCAAACAACTCCCCAAATCCAAAAAAGCAGAGAAAAACTCCTCTAAAACACATTAGCAGGGGTCAGCGGCACTGTCTGGGCGTGACGTGTTCTGCATCCTTTTTTGTTCTAAATTAGGTAAAGTTTCCTTTTCCCTTAACAACTGTCGACAACTTCAAGGCTCAACTCCCTACCACAGATGAGACCCAGCCTTCCAGGGCAGAGGAGGAGAGGCTGTGAAATCCCACCGCTTCTCACCCGCAGGATTTCTGAACAGTTCCAAGAGCCCTGTGTCTGAATTCCTTCTGTCTCACCCCCAGATGCCGAAATCAACTGATTCCCGGACTTCACACCATGTTAGACAGAAGGGGAAGCTTGGAGATCATCCGGGTCCACCTCCTCACTTGGGACATGTGGAAGGAAGCCCAGCTAGCGACTTTCCTAAGGTGACATGATTAAAAGCGCTCCTGGGGTGGGGGTGGGGGGCTCCCTGTCCTCCCTGCCAGAGAGCCTTGTCACAGGAGCAGCTCTAGCTGCTTAGTTCTATTTTAAGATAAACCCTCTCACTCCAGTAACCACTTATACAAAACACCTGCATCTCACCCGCCCTGCAGTTTCCTTCGGGCTTTATTCGGGGTCCTCTCCCAGGGCGCTCCGCTCTCGAAGGGGCGCCCGGACCACGCCTCCAGGAATGCATCTCAGGGCAGTTGCCAGTCACCCGGACTTGCCCGGCAGGGCAAGGCTGTTAATGGGGGGAGACTACGCACTACCGAGCTCCTTCTCAAAGGCTTGACCTTACACATTCTCCCTGCCAGCCCTCTGATGGTGAGGGGAGGGAACCTAAACAACCTCAGAGGAGGAATTGCAGTACAATCGACTCCCACATCGGGCACGCTCTCTACGAGAAGACGAGCCTTCCCCCGGCCGGCTCCCTCCCTTTCTTCCTACTTCTATTCAGAAGCATTCGCTCCCCCATTCCCATACCACACCTGCAGAACTGGGACCCACCACGCTGCCCTCCACCTGGCGTCGCCCTGGGAAGGGGGCAGGAAAGCTTGTGCCCGCTGGGGATGCTGAGGGCCTGGGAAGGGAGGTCTGCCACCTGCAGCCCCGGAGTCTTTCAGGAGTGGGACAGCTGGGGCCCCAGGAGAGCAAAGGACGAAACTCGCTCTCCTCGACTTTCCTCCAAGGCCCCATTCATCCCTGGCTTTGCCCCGGCCCCCTCGTCTTCTCGCTTCTCTCTCTCCCTTGCCGTTCCGCAGCTCCCAAGTCAACCCCCATCACCTGGGTCCCCTCCGCTCCCCTCCCCGGGCCTCTCCCCACTTCCTCTTACAAGGCACTCCTGTCGTGTTTCCACTTTGTCTCCAATATGTCTAACCGCAACCCACCACAGATTTTGACATTTTAAATGTTTAGTTGTTATAGTTACTTGACTAATTGCCGGGCCCGACAGCGGCGCTTCTCCCTCGCCTCCCGCGAGCAGGAGAGAAGGGGGCAGGCGAGGTGGGGGGTACGGGGCTGTAGACGCCACTCCCCGGGGCCCGGGACTCAAGGCTAGGCCCTGGCAAGGGTGCCTTGCCTGGGAACCGGCGGTCCCTCCGCCTCCAGCCTGTAGCCTGGGCACGGAAGGCACGCCGGGCCTCTGGATGCCGCGCACCGTCTCCTGCCCGGGACACGGGAGCGGCCGGGGGGCAACCCCAGGGGGGCCAACCCCAGGAGGCGCCGCGGCTGGCCTCCCGGTGCGCCCACGCTCGCAATGCGGAGAAAGTGAGGTGGCATTTTAGTGGAACTGGGGAAGGAGGTGGACAGGGGCGCGTTTGGGGCAAAGAAAAGAGTTAGAAGCGGCTGGGCCAGTTACTCACGTGCCAGATAGCGAAGAAGATGAGCGCAGCGCACAGCACCAGGGACAGCATGTAGCAGAAAGCAGCGAAAGTGAAGGCCATGGCCGGTGGTCCGATCCCGCCACGCACAAAGAGCCCCTAGGAGGCTGGTGTCCCCCTCGGCGACCGCACTCCCTCAAAAGAGGGGCAAAAAGGAGTCACGCCTGCACCCTGCCCTCGAGGCGAGTGGCTAGGAGGAGGCACGCCAAGCGGAGAGAGCCTTAAGGGTCAGCGAACAGAGACAGGATTCCCGCAGGCTCCGGCGACACGGGATGCCAGCCCGCCCGCGAAAAAAGGAAAAGGCGCGTCAAGCGTCGTTGGCGGGAACTGTCCCCAAATCAGAGAAGAAACCAAAGCAGTGGAGAACTCCTCAGATGACTGCACGCCAGCGAGCCTCTCGAGACCAGCACGGCGAGGGGCGCGAGGACTCCAGGGAGGACCGCGTGAGCGGCTCGGGGCCCCCGGAACCCCAGGGAAGAGCCCTCCGCTCTCCGCGCCCCAGCCCCAGAGCAGAGGCGAACGCGCCGCTCAGGACCCCCTGCGCCGCCGGGGCGCAAACGGAGAGCGCCCAGCGCGGGGCCCGGGCGGACGGCGAGCTCCTCCCGAATCCCAGAGCCGCCGCCGGCGCCTTCCCGGGGGAACAGGTCTTTAGGTGGCCGGGAAGGACCAGGTCCCCGTGGTCCTGCGCCCCGGACGCGGCTTCCAGGGCTGCTGTGCGCTCCTGTGCGCGCCGGGCCCCGGCCTCGGTAATCCAAGTTCCCCGGAGCCTAGGGATGGGCGCGGGGTGGGCCCGGCCTCCAGCCCCGCGGGCCCGCTCCCACCCGGGCGGCAGGAGCGGCGGGTTTCAGGCCAAGAGCTGCTCGCCGCCCAGCGCGCTCCACCTGCTGCTGCTGCCGCCGCGTCTGGCGCTGCGAGCACGGGAGCGGCGCGCCCGGGGTCCCCTCCCTCCCGGCGCCCCCGGCTCCGGTGGGCGGGCGGGCGGAGCTGCGGCGGCGGGGGCCGGGGACGGGCGGGCGGCGAGGCGCTGCGGCGGCCGTGGGCGCGCCGGCCGCTCGCAGGAAACTTGCGGCCGCGGCGAGCGGGGCGCGCGGGGCGGAGCGGGGACTCTTTAAACACGTGCGTCGGGAGGAGGTGGGACGCCGCGGAAGGGTATGGCGTGTACCTCGCGCGACGGCGGCAGCCGCCCCTCCGGTTCTCGCAGTTTCTCCAGCTGAGTGGGAGCCGTGGGGGCTGAGTGCTGTGATGGTTGCGGATACGGACAAGCCCTTGGCCCCCGGGATTCCTTGGCGGGGGGCGGGGGGCGGTTCCTAACTTGTAGCGCCCTGAAGGCTCCGAGCTGTGTTTGCGGCGCTGCTCCCAGCCCCTGCAAAATTCTCCGTTTCCCTCGCCTCCTGCACCCTCCCCCACCGTCTGACCTTGGAACTGGGAACTAGACTTTGTGGTCTGTTCTGGGCTGAAGAGGCGGCAGCAATGGCCCTGTGCAATTGGTGTGGGTCTAGTGGAACTGTCGAGAGCGTGTGCATTTGGAGTCAGACCCCTTAGAAGCTGCAAGTTTCTTAACCTCTTTAAACCTTGGTTTCTTTATCTGAAAAATAGGAATAAGAGTACTACCGATCCATTTTAGGGGATTAAGTGGGAACATAAATAAAGAACGTAGCCGAAAGCCTGGCACTTGGTGCACATTCAGTAAAGGGTAGGGAATGTTATGTGCACATTTGGCCCCAGTGGCCCAACGTCTTGGAAGCACAATGCCTTCCTTCGTAAGGGATTTCTGATACAGCTGTGAAGGAGGCGCCAATCATTCCAGATAGAACTTGGGTTTCGGATAAGGCAGTGAGTCCAGAAAGCAAGGTGAGATATCCTGAAAAATGATTGGCAGATCCACATCATGGTTTGGAGTGAGTCTCAGAGCACCTGGTATCTTGCACAGAGTGCGTGCTGAATAAATAGCTGTTGGGGTATTCTAACCCTGGTGGGCTAGCTGCCCTGTAAACAAATAGGATTGCAAAGGCTTTAGAGCTGGAAGAAAGGAGTTACAGAGAGCTAGTCATACCACTAGCCAGTGATGGAACTAGAATCAGGTCTGCAGACTCCTAATCCGGCGCTTTTTCCACTACACCCCAACATTCTTGCAGAGGTTTGGCTGCACCTCCAATCTGGAAGCCTTTTGATGGGAAGTGGGGAAACTAGAGCAAGTCCAGTGGTTGTTGACGGAGTGGTCAACAGATCAGCATTTAGCTGCCTCTGGGTCAGGACTGGCTGCATACTTTGCAGGGCCAAGTGTAAAATGAAAATGTGGGGCTTCTTGTTAAAAAATTATTAAGAATTTCAAAATAGCAACAGCAGAGCATTAAACCAAGCATGAGGGCCTCCTGACCACAGGACCCTGGGCAACTGCAGAGGTTGCACACCTGTGAATCCAGCTGTGCTCTCTGTTATTTTCTTTATCACTTTCTCTTTTACTTAAGTATGCCTTCTAATTTAAATTCTCATTGAAGAAAATTTGGAAAATGCAGAAATGACTAAGATGAAACAAACACCATAGTGTGCCATTCTCAGACACTGCCAGCCAGCACAATAGTGGTAATATTTCCTTCTATCTCTGTTTTTTGCTTTTTATTTCACGTCAATCATTTCTTGTAATAGTTGTTAATTATGCTGTATAAATTTTTGTGGCACCAAAACAATGAGATAATATCAAGGAAAATTTGATAATTCAAATATTTCGAGGCCCTTTAGGGCTGATCTGCTGTCTTTTGTTTCTGCTGGGTTTTGTTCATGGAGACCCAGCTCCTTGTGTGTCTAGTAATTTTTTAGTGTATGTCAAACATTGTTTTGAAAAGTTCTTTGCAGGAATTTGACGTCTAAGATGATGTTATGTTTCTGCAAGGAGGATTTTCTACTTCTTTTGCCAGGTGTCTGGGGGAAACCAGCACTCAAGAATTACCTTGATCCGTATTCAGGGTGAGATTTTCTGGGCTAACCAGATGACTCTGGTCTGTAAGAAGGCTGGTTTATGTCAGGTTCCCCCTCATTCACATGGAACAATCCTTGTGGATCCCAGGCCAAAGCAGGCAGGTTATGAAGTCCCATGCCCTGGTGGTCCCTGGACTCTGACTTTTGCTCCCAGCCCTACAAAGCAGGAAAACCTCAACTGAGCCTCTCAGCCACCTCCTCCAGACTAGCACATGGCCCTAGAGTACAATTGGCCCCAAGCTAGGCTGACCTCTCTGGGTTCCCAAACACCATCAGAAGTTGGCCCCAATAATTGCTTACTCTCTTAAGTCTTTGATGCCTTTAGGAAGATGTTTGTATATTTCATTCAGCTTTTTAAATTGTTTTCAGTGGGAGAATTGATCTGAATTATCTAGCCCAGTGTTACCAGAATCAGGAGTCTCTACATCAGAAGAAAATTTCATAGGAAAAAAACGAATCCATCATCCGCCACTCTGCCTTTCAAGTCTCCACCCATATCACAGAAAAATGGCTTCCCTTGCCCCACCCCACCTTATCTTGTTTTATCAGGTACAGAATGGTATCTCAGTAAAGGTGACTGCAATAATAGAGTTTCAGAAAATAAGGACCCCAAACAGTCATTGTTTATTACTTTAACAAACATTACTTAGTACCTATACGTGGTGTACACTGTCAGAGATCCACAAGGTTCCGGGTCTAATTAGGGAGGTAACAAAGATCGTCACAAGGCAGTGTTTAAAAAAAAAAAGAGCCTGTGACACAGTAGAGGAAGGCAAGGGAGAAAGTGATTAAGAATGGATGTTGAGGGGACAGCCTGGTGGCATAGTGATTGAGTTCATGTGCTCTGCTTCGGCAGCCCAGGGTTTATGGGTTTAGATCCCAGGTACAGACCTACACACCACTCATCAAGCCATACTGTGGCAACATCCCACATAAAAGAGAAGAAGATGCACATGGATGTAAGCTCAGGCCCAGTCTTCCTCAGCAAAAAGAGGAGAATTGGTGGCAGATGTTAGTTCAGGGTTAATCTTTGTAAAAAATAAATAATTAAAAAAATAAAATTAAAAAAAAAAGAGGAATATTGACACAGATGTTAGCTCAGCGACAATCTTCCTCAAGCAAAAAAGAGGAAGATTGGCAACAGATGTTAGCTTAGGGCCAATCTTCCTCACCAAAAGAAAAAAAAGAATGCATGTTGAGAGACCAACCTACATTGTTTCACCTACTATAGACATTGAAAAGCCAATTACTTGATTTTTCCTAGCCACCATGCAGCTAGGAGTGGCCATGTGACACAGTTTGAACCCATGAGATATATACTTCTTTTTGCCTGAAGTTCAGACCTGATGCCTGGAGGTACAGCAGCCATTTTGTGACAATGAGAAGGAAATCAAACATTAAGAATGAAAAAACTAAAAAGAGAGAGCAAGAACCATTGACAACATAATTGAGCCACCCCACTGGCCCTGAACTTCCTATTCCCTGACTTCTTATTGAATGAGACCAAAAAACTTCCCACTTTTTTAAGCCATGAAAGTAAGGAATTCTGTTACTTACAGGTGAACACAATTCTTAACTGATACCATGGTTTAATGGGGGGGTGGGGGCTGTTTTCCTGATATGACATGAAATGGGGATATTCAGGCTGGTGTAGCAGCTCCATGTCACCATGACTGTCCCCAGCTCTTTACCTTCCTGGCTTGCTGTCCTTTCCATGTGGATTTAGTTCTCACGGTCACAAGAAGGCTGCTGCACCTCCAGGCATCATGTCCATGTTGCAGGCAGGAAGAAAGAAAAGAGCCAAAAGGTTTCAGCATGTCTTTTGGGGAGAGTAAAGGAAGCCCTCACCATGGATGTCGTGCATCTCACTGGCCTGAACTCTGACACTTGGTCACCTCTACCTCATTGAAAGTGAGTCTGAGGAGATGAATCTTTTCTCCTCCTGGCCTTTATAAAATAGGAAGGCAAAGAGAAAAGGGTTTTGAGTGGCTTTGAATATCCACCTTTCTTCCATACAGCTGTAGTGGGGTTTCCTGTTCCCAGCAGCCTGAGACAGTTTCCGGGTGTCACAGTGGTGCTGACAGCGCTGTATAAGACAAGGGACAGCTTTGGGGGTGGTATGATTGGGGTGCAGGGGTGGGGGTCATAGACAAGGTGACAACTTTAGGCAAATTCCATCCGCCCTCCCCTCCACCCCGTCCCCACCTGGCCCGCAGGCACCTGGCACGGTGCCCATGGAACGGCACCCGTCAACCTTGGGAAGGGTGGTGAAGTGGTCCATGCGCTCCTTCCAGCCCACCCCCAGCCCCGTCCCACCCACGGCAGAATCTGACCAGACGCTTCGTTTATTTAGCACAGAATTCAGGAGCAGCTCCTCACTGGCACTCTCCCCCATAAACGAACACCGTGAGCTTTTCAGTGCCACATGGTGGGTCCAGTCCCTCCCTTGCTTCCCAGCCAAGTGTGTCGGAATCCTGGCAGGCTTTCCCCGTCCTCCAGGGTAAAGCCAGTCCACCGAGTCTGCCCTCACCACCATCCAAACGCTCCCACAAATCCTGCCAGAAAGAGACTATGTCCAGCCAGTCCACCTCCCCGGAGACTCTCTGTTTCTCTCTTTGGTGGATTTGGAAATTAGAATGTCCTGAGAAGTGGGGGTTTTTAAATGACTGTTTATTATAAAATTTTCAAGCAGATAGAACAGTAGAGGAAAGAGTATCGTGCACATTCATTGAAGAATCACCCAGATTCAGCCACTGTTTCCATTTCGCCATGCATGCTTCCTGTGTCCCCAAATGGTATTTTACAGCTGGTTTGTTCAAACCGGGATCTTCAGATTCTCCCTTCAGTCCTCATGCCTCAAGACATTGTAACC